AGAGAGAGAGAGAGAGAGAGAGAGAGAGAGAGGAAGGAAGGAAGGAAGGAAGGAAGGAAGGAAGGAAGGAAGGAAGGAAGGGGGAATACCTATCCTAAATGGGAGCGGCAGCATCCCATGGACCGGGGTCCAGAACTATAAAAAGAAAAAGCGGGCTGGGCATCAACCTTCATCTCCCTCTGCCTCTTGACTGCAGACACAACACGACCAGCTGCCTCACTTGCCTACGGCCACGCCTTCTCCACCATTGCAGACCGTCACACCCTTAAATCAGGAGCCAAAACAGTCACTTAGACACTTCTCTCCCTTCAGATGCTTTCCTGGGTATTCTGTCACCAGGAGACAAGTCATTGCCATAGACTTAACCGGGAAAGAACCACCGCTTTCTGTCCCTTATCTGCACTTCTTGATGATGAAGGAGCAAGATAGTGAGGTAAATGGGTCTCACACTTAAGTGAGTTGCAACCCCTCAGAGGGCTCATTACACCATCCGTGGGGCCGCCCTACCCCCACCCCCCGAGTTTCAGAATTGATGAGTCTGGGGGAGGGGAAAGGTAATTACCATTTCTAACAACGTCCCAGGGGACATAGCAAGGTGTGACTGCTGCCGACCCAGAGTTCACTGGTGTCACAGCTAGGAGCTGGGGCTTGGGAATCAGACCCTTGGTAAGATCTCATTCTACTACTTAACATATCTGCAACAAGAGGCCAAGACGGGAGCTTGGGTTTCATGCCACAGTTGAGTGTGTACTGATGCTCTGTGCAGACACTCCTTGGCTTAGTAAGCAAGTTGCATCCCAGTCTCACACAAAATGAACATAACTCCTACAAACCCATCATAAAGATGAATACTTATAAGTTGAACCATAGTCAGCTGGGGGCCATGTGTGCATCAAACACAAAACACTCCGAATACTGTCTGGACCACAGTAACAGCCGAATGGAGCTCAGCTAGTATGGGCCATCCATTCGTGTGCCCATTCGGCTGCTGTTGCGTGCTTCCTTTAAGCCAGAGAGTGTTACAGGCACCTGATATGTGGCGGTCAGTAATAAAGGGTCTCCTCTCATCCAGGCACAGTCCACCTCCAAACACAGGCAGATGATGTCGTCAGTGCGGACTACAGCATCACCCAAACAAATTCTGCATGCCAAACACCCAACTCCAGTGTAGGGGTTGTAAGATGTAAGAGCAGAGAGAGGCAGGGTTGGGCATGGTAGCACACACCTTTAATCCCAGCTTGTTTCTGGGCAGAGTGACAAGACCAGAGGACCGCTACTATAGCCTTACGTCAGAAAAGGCGTCATGGTTACAGGGTAGGACAAAGATGATTCATCCTAGCCAGAATATCCCTGGTTTATCTTTGTTTTGGCTTTGGTTTTATTTTTATTTTTTTCAAAACTGTAGTCCTGGGACTCACTCTGTAGACCAGGCTGGCCTCGAACTCACAGAGATCCCCCTGCCTCTGCCTCCTGACCGAGTGCTGGGATCAAAGGCGTGCGCCACCACCGCCACCGCCGCCACCACCTCCTGGCTTCCTGGTTTATCTTAAGAAAAGTCAGAGACAGGTGCATTCCTAGAGTCAGGTAAACACAGACAAGATTCCAATGCTTTTATCTGCTTAGGGTTTGCAGGACAACCTGGCCAGAGGTAATCATGATGTTCTGGTCCCAAATGGCTGCAGACAGGTGACGCTGTATCCATAAAACCCTGAACAGCAGATGTACTTGAACTTCCATTAGAAATTGTCGTGTGTGTGTGTGTGTGTGTGTGTGTGTGTGTGTGTGTGTGTGTGTGTGTGTTCATTTGGGTGCAGGTGCACACATATGTGTGGGTGCACATGTGTGTGGAGATCAGAGGTTAGCCGTGGGTGTCATTCCTCAGGATTCATCCATCTTGTGACTGCCTTGGGGCTTGTCCATTAGCTTAGGCTGGCTATTGTCCTGCCTTGTCTTCTCATCATTAGGATTACACACACACCACCACCACCACCACCACCACCACCCCTGCCTTTTTACGTGGGTCTGGGGAACACACTCAGGTCCTCACGCTTACACAGCAAGCGCTTTACTGACTGAATGTGTTCCAGTCTTGTCTGACTCCTCCAGCTCAAGGAGCGGACACTACCATGCAAAGGGTTACCCGCAGTCTGAATTTAAGCACGGTGGCACAAGGATATACCCATGATGGCGAGTCACTGCCATCTGTCTTCGTTACTTTTCTATGGCTGCGAGAGACACCATGACCAAGACAACTTAGAGACTGAAGAGTTTATTGGGAGTTCACCGTCTCAGAGGGTTAGAGTTCATGATCATCATGGTAGGGAGTGTGGCAGCAGGCAGGCAGATGTCAGACGTGGTGCTGGAGCATGTTTTGGGAAGGATTAAGGGGTGTGGCTCTGTTGGAGGAGGTGTGTCACTGGAGGTGAGCTTTCAGGTTGCAAAAGCCTACACGTTCCCAGGTTCCCAGTTAGCTTGCACTCTCTCTCTCTCTCTCTCTCTCTCTCTCTCTCTCTCTCTCTCTCTCTCTCTCCCTCCCTCCCCACTCATGGTTTTTGTCTCAAGATGCAAGCTCTCAGCTACTTCTCCAATATCACGGCCATGTCTGCCTGCCTGCTGCCCTGCTCCCCACTGCGAAAGAGTGGAGTCACCCTGCGACACTGTAAACAGGTCCCCAGTTAAATGCTTTCTTATGCCGGGCATGGGGGTGCACACTTTTAATCCCAGCACTCAGGGGGCAGAGGCAGGCGAATCTCTGTGAGTTTCCAGGCCAGCCTGGTCTACAGAGTGAGTTCCAGGACAGCCAGGGCTACACAGAGAAACCCTGTCTCAAAAAAAAAAAGAAAGAAAGAAAGAAAGAAA